GGTACGTACAAAACACAAACAAGGGCGTGGTAGACAGAAATTATTTTGGATGATAGCCTAAAGATCTGATTAATTCAGCTGGTTATAGAAGAGTATGAGATATATATTTTAGTTCCAATGTAATTAAGTTTATGTAAATACATTTTTATATGCATGGCCATAGATTTTACCCCTATATGATCAGTCATTTGAAGAATGATAATGAGAGAATGTCATTATCAAATGAGAGTGGACCTTTAACACAGCTTATTTAGCTCTACTTAGAAAAAATGTTCAAGAGCTTATCTTCCCCTCCCCTTTAGGACCTTTTAATGTGGACAGTATTTGCTTTGGTGTCTGCCATTAGGTTATGTATCCAACCAGATCTAGAAATTCTTGTGACTCACATATCCTGCTTGGATTAGTTCCAAATCCATTGGGTACAAGAAAGCAAAAGCAAGCACTCACTGGAGTTTTTTAAAATTGTACGGATTACCTTTGTTCTAGGTCTATTTGGGACCAAATATAGAAGCACCTGTAGAAGACTGTCTTCTGACATAGACCTTCTGAGACACCAGAAATTTTTAAAATCCAGAACATGGTCAGCATAAATAGTGTAAAACACTGGGTAGATTAAAGCTTTACCTAATTCTTAAAATGCTCAAATATGATGTGATGTTTTCATTTAGAAGTTTGATGTTTTTCTATTCCAAATCTTAAATAATCACATTAAAAACTAGTTTTGACAATGTAGGCTTCTATTTGTTTTACAGATGACTGTTGGGAGCATATGTAAAATATGGAACTGTTTCTTTTCTTTCCTTCTAAAAGATTAATGATATAAATAGATTAAATAGATTGATGCTCCAGAAACTTAACAGAATATCTTCTGCAGCTATGTATCATTCATAAATCTTAACTTTTTTTATTTTATTTTTTTAATTGTATTTTAGATGAGGGTTTACAGAGCAAATTAGTTTCTCATTAAACAATTTATACATATATTGTTTCGTGACATTGGTTGCCAACCCCATGATATGTGAACACTCTCCCCTTTTCGACCTTGGGTTTCCCGTTAACAGCTTTCCTGTCCCCTCCTGCCTTCTCGTCCTTGTCACTGGGCTGGTGTGCCCATTTAATCTTGTTTAGTTATATGGGCCTGTCTAATCTTTGGTTGAAGGGTGAACCTCAGGAGTGACTTCAGTACTGAGTTAGAAGTGTGTCTGGGGGCCATACTTTCGGGGTTTAACTTTTTTAGGTACCTCACTGTACCTGAATCTTTTAGAAAAGATATACTATTCAAGTGGATGCTTTTCAGATCACTTACTTCCATACAGGGTTTGCTTTGTTTTGAATTTTCTATTTTTTTTTTTTTTTATTGTACTTTAGGTAAAGGTTTACAGAACAAATAGTTTAGTTTCTCATTAAACAGTCAGTACACATGCTGTTTTATGACATTGTTTAACAATCCCACGACATGTCAACACTCCCTCCTCGACCTTAGAGGACCTTGTTTTTTTTGGTGAAAATATACATAGCCAAAGGTATACCATTTCAAAAATTTCTACAAGCACAATTCAGTGACATTGATTACGTTCTTCCAATTGTACTGCTATTCTCACTTTAGATGAAGGTTTACAGAACAAAATAGTTTCTCATTAAACAGTTAGTACACATGTTGCCCTATGACAATGCTTAACAACCCCACTACATGTCAACACTGTCCTTACTCAGCCTTGGGTTCCCTATCACCAGCTTTCCTGTCCCCTTCTGCCTTCTAGTCCTTGTCCCTGGACTGCTGTCCCTCATTAGTCTTGTTTTGTTTTATGGGGCTGTCCAGTCCCCGGCTGAACAGTGAACCTCAGAAGTGACTTCACCACTGAGCTAAAAGGGTGTTTGGGGTCCATAGTCTCGGAGTTTCTCCAGTCTCTTTCAGGCCAGTAAATCTGGTCTTTTTTGTGTGTGTTAGAATTTTGTTTTACATCCTTCTCCAGCTCTGTCCAGAACCCTCTGTTGTGATCCTGGTCAGAGCACTCAGTGGTAGTAGCCAGGCACCATCTAGCTGTACTGGACTCAGTCTTTGGGAGGCCTTGGTAGGAGTGGTCCATTTGTCCTTTGGACTAATCTTTTCCTTGTATCCTGTTCTCTTCATCCCTTGCTCCCGAAGGGGTGAGACCAGTGGAGTATCTTAGATGGCTGCTCACTGGCTTTTAAGACCCCAGACGCTACTCACCAAGGTAGAATGTAGAACATTGTCTTTATAAACTGTGTTATGCCAATTGAGCTAGAAGTTCCCCAAGTGAATTTTCTGTTTTTATAGACAGTTTCATAAAAGGAAGTTTTAAAAATGCCACAGAATTAATAATGTAAACACTACCTTCCCCAATTTTATATGTACATAGAACAGTTTTCTGTTTATCTTTTGGTTTTATGCTTTCCAAGTCAGAGTTAGAATTGGAAATATAGATAAAAAAAACTGATAACAATAAAAGATAATGTTATGATGATTGAATATGCATATGTGCAGCCACAGTGCCTGGCTTATAGTAAAGTCATAATACACAATAACCAGAAGAACTAAAAATAGGATGATGTTGAATTGACCGCAATGCCTAGTTATTTTTGAATCCTTTCAAAGCTGTTTTATAGAGTAAGATCACTGAAGTCGGATTAAGAAATTTTAGTCCTAGTTTGCCGCTAACTGGCTTTGTGACATTGAGCAAGTTACTGGGTTAAGCCCTGTTGGTCTTTGTTGTTGTTGTGTGCTGTCAAGTCAATTCCGAGAAGAAAATCCTTTCTACTACCACTGCTTTTCTTCAAATTTTATTGTGAAACAGAAAAATAAAAGAAAGGGATGGTAAGAATAGAGGGTGATTGTTTTTTTTAAATTTCTTTCTAAGCCTGGTATTTGATTTCTCAATTTATCTAGAGAAACATCTGGTGGGTCAACTTGAAAATGCTCATTTAAGCCACTTACTTAGTTCTGCAATACAGCACATCATGTTCACTGGGCTTCAGGTCCCATGTTGGAAACATCACAAATTAGAAGGTGTTCCTAAGTCTCTCAATAAAGACCCATTTACTTTACTGCTTAGATTCAGAGATGGGATGTAATTAAAATGAAAGTATGTTTCCTGTATTTGTGTTTAACTAGCCTACCTGAAGCCACAGCCTATTCATTAGTAAATGACTTGCCAGACTACTGACTTTTCACACAACATAACCTGTTTGGAGATGAGACCTATCGTCACTGTAAAAAATAAAAATAAAAATGGAACCCGTTGCTGTTGAGTCTATTCCAACTCACAGTGACCCAATAGGACAAAGTAGAACTGCCCCATAGGGTTTCCAAGGAGCAGCTGGTGGATTTGAACTGCTGACCTTTTGGTTACCAACTGAACGCTTAACCACTGCACCACCAGGGCACCATACTGTAATATTCCCAGTTAATCAGTGAAGTTGTATGTCTAAGATATAGGTCATGTTTCCTCTCTCTCTAAAACATTTTGTTGATTAATGGAATGATATAATTTAGACTTGCTAAATTTCCAATTTCCTTAGAATGTGGGCATCTTTAACATTAACATTTTGACTACCTGATGAAATGATTAGAAATCTGAGCAGTGAGACCGACTATTAGGTTCTGACTTTGGGAAATCAGAGCTAAAGCTGTACTTTTCCCCTGCCTCCCACAGGCTTATCAAGATCATCCCTGTAGGGATACTAACCTCCTCCTTCCTTTTTCTGAAACTGTAAACAGGGAGGTGAGGGCTTTGATGCTAAAGCAAGGATTTAGAATCCAAGGCATGGCAGAAGTGGAGAACAGGTTTCAAAAGTTCTAACAATAGGGATAATAAGACAATAAATCCAGAATTGAGCAAAGTAATAGTTGAAATGAGTTGAGATTAAAGAAAGGAGTGAATTTGTAACCGGATGGTACTGAGTTTGTTAGTCTTGTCCAGTATTTTTAAGTGCATAAACATTGGAAGTATTAGAATGCATAATGTTTTAGCAGTAAAAGTTTTTATAGCAATGCAGTAATTGAATTTTTCCTGTCAGTAGCCCTGAAAATCCTAAGTATCGCTGTTCACCTAGTGGCAACTCCCTGAACTGTTGCCATGGTAGCTTGGAAGAAAGAAACTGTTCTCAAACACTTTTTTCTTAGTAAACTATTCTTTAGTAGTAATTCCTGCTGAAGAAAGTCTGAGGAACCTCCTTTTTTTACATCAAAATGTTTAAGAACATCCTCCTTCATGATAGTAGTTGATGGGAAAAAATGATGACTGGAAGTTACTATGATCATAGCTTTAAAAAAAGTAATTTGAAAATGTACTAAACATCTATTTTATGGACAAGTCACTCCCCAGGGTTTATGGACCCCAGGCTGTAGCCTGAAGCCTACAAGCTAGAAGTACCGGGTTTGGAAATCCAACTCTTTTTTTTTTTTTTACAAAAATTTGTACATATACTGTTACGTGACTCTAATTGCTCTCCCCATACTGTGACAGCACATTCCTTCTTTCCACCCCTGATTCCCCATGTCCCTTCAACCAGCCCCTAACCCTTTCTGCCTTCCCATCTCACCTCTGGACAGAAGCTGCCCGTTTAGTCTCTTGTATCTACTTGAGCTAAGAAGCACACTCCTCACGAGTATCACTTTATGTCCCACCGTCCAGTCCAATCCCTGTCTGAAGAGTTGGCCTCGGAATATGAGTTCTGGGCTGATAGAGAATCCAGGGGCCATGTTTTTTTGGGTTCCTCCAGTATCAGTCAGACCATTAAGTCTGGTCTTCTTACTAGAATTTGAGTTCTGCATCCCACCTTTCTCCTGCTCCATCTAGGACTCTCTGTTGTATTCCCTGTCAGGGCGGTCATTGGTGGTAGCCAGGCACCATCTAGTTCTTCTGGTCTCAGGCTGATGAAATCTCTGGTTTATTGGCCGTTTATGTTTCTTGAGCTAATACTTTCCTTGTGTCTTTGATGTTCTTCATTCTCTTTTACTCCAGGTGGTTGGGAACAATTGATGCATCTTAGATGGCCGCTTGCAAGCTTTTAAGACCCCAGACACCACTCACCAAAGTAGGATTCAGAACATTTTCTTAATAAGCTTTGTTAGGCCAATTGACCTAGATGTCCCCTGAAAGTATGGTCCCCAGACCCCTACCGCTGCTACTCTGTCTCTCAAAGTGTTTGGTTGTATTCAGGAAACTTCTTAGCTTTGGTTTAGTCCAGTTGTACTGACTTCCTCTGTAGTGAGTGCTGTCCTTCCCTTCACCTAAGATAATTCTTATCTACTATCTAGTTATTAAATAACCCTCCCCCTCCCTCCCTACCCTTGTAACCATCAAAGAACGTTTTCTTCTGTGTTTAATCCTTTTCTTGAGTTCTTATAATAGTGGTCTGATACAGTATTTGTCCTTCTGTGACTGACTAAATTCACTCAGCATAATGACCTCCAGCATCCTCCATGTTGTAAGATGTTTCACGGCTTCATCATTTTTCTTTATCATTGCGTAGTATTCCATTGTGTGGATATACCATAATTTGTTTATCCATTTGTCCGTTGATGGACACCTATGTTGTTTCTATCTTTTTGCTATTGTGAACAGTGCTGCAGTGAACATGGGTGTGCATATATCTATTTGTGTGACGGCTCTTATTTCTCTAGGATATATTCCAAGGAGCAGGATAGCTGAAATCGTATGGTACTTCTATTTCTAGCTTTTTAAGGAAGTGCCAAATCGATTTCCAAAGTGGTTGTACCATTTTACATTCCCACCAACAGTGTATCAGTGTTCTAGTCTCCCCACAACCTCTCCAGCATTTATTATTTTGTGTTTTTTGGATGAATGCTAGCCTTGTTGGGGTGAGATGATATCTCATTGTAGTTTTGATCTGCATTTCTCTAATGGCTAATGATCATGAGCATTTCTTCACGTGTCTGCTGGCCACCTGAATATCTTCTTTGGCGAAGTGCCTGTTCATATCCTTTGCCCTTTTTTTAATTGGGTTATTTGTCTTTTTGTTGTTGAGGTTTTGCAGTATCTTGTAGATTTTAGAGATTAGACACTGATCAGATTTGTCATAGCCAAAATTTTTTTCCCAGTCTGTAGGTAGTCTTTTGACTCTTTTGGTGAAGTCTTTTGATGAGCTTAAGTGTTTGATTTTTCAGGAGCTCCCATTTATCTAGTCTCTCTTCTGGTGCTTGTGCATTGTTATTTATGGCTTGTATTGTGTTTATGCCATGTATTAGGGCTTCTAGTGTTGTCCCTATTTTTTCTTCCATGATCTTTATTGTTTTTGATTTTATATTTAAGTCTTTGATCCATTTTGAGTTAGTTTTGTTCATGGTGTGAGGTATGGGTCTTGTTTCAGTTTTTTGCGGATAGATACGCAGTTATGCCAGCACCATTTGTTAAAGAGACTGTCTTTCCTCAATTAATGGACTTTGGGCCTTTGTCAAATATCAGCTGCTCATAGGTGGATGACTTTATGTCTGGATTCTCAGTTCTGTTCCATTGGTCTATGTATCTGTTGTTGTACCAGTACCAGGCTGTTTTGACTACCGTGGCATCATAATAGGATGTAAAATCAGGTAGTGTGAGGCCTCCCACTTTGTTCTTCTTCTTGAATAATGCTTTACTTATTTGGGGCCTCTTCCCTTTCCATATGAAGTTGGTGATTTGTTTCTCCATCTCATTAAAAAATGCTGGTGGAATTTGGTTCGGGATTGCATTGTGTCTGTAGATCGCTTTGGGTAGAACTGACATTTTCACAATGTTGAGTCTACCTAGCCACAGGCAAGGTATGTTTTTCCACTCATGCAGATCTCTTTTAGTTTCTTGGAGTAGTGTCTTGTAGTTTTCATTGTATAGGCCTTTTATGTCTCTGGTTAGATTTATTCCTAAGTATTTTATCTTCTTGGGGTCTGTTGTAAATGGTGTTGATTTGGTGATGTAAATCCAACTCTTAAGGAGTTAAAACAATGTTTAATGTGTTCAGTGCTAGTCTTCAGCGCCTTGAAAAGTATCTGCTAACATAGTGGGTGATGCTTAACAAATACTTGTTGCAAAAGTGAATGAATTGGCTCTGCAGCCCCTGGCTGGATAACCAACCAGCTATTGTCAACCAGTTCGGACTCATGGTGACCCCGTGTGTGTCAGAGTAGGCTGTGGTCCATAGAGTTTTCAGTGCTAATTTTTAGAAGTAGATTGATCACCAGACCTTTCTTCCAAGGTGCTTTTGGGTAGACTTGAACCTTCAACCTTTCATTTAGCAGCTGAGCACTTTAACTGTTTGCACCACCCAGGGACTCCCCTTGCAGGATACTCTGCTATTTTTGGCTTAGCTAATTTCTAGACACCAAACCTTCAGGCTTTTGGAGTTCTCTTCACAGTAAAATTAGCTTACCATTTTCTGAAAGATGTTTTTTCCCAGTAGTTTTTTTTTTTTGCTTCCCATTAGTTATATAGGTTTGTAATATTAAATAGTGTTGTTAGGAGGCTCTATGGAGCCCTGGTGGCGCAGTGGTTAAGAGCTTGGCTGCTGACCAAAACGTCGGCAGTTCAAATCCACCAGCTGCTCCTCAGAAACCCTATGGGGTAGTTCTACTCTGTCCTTTAGGGTCGCTAAGAGTCAGAACTGACTTGATGGCAAAGGGTTTTTTGGTGCGACTATTTACTTTGATACAGTAACAGCGCCATCTTGTGAACCTTTTAGGATATCACTGCTGAAAACTTTTAAAGCCCTGACTTGTTCTTGTATCGTAGACGTGCAACTCTTTCATTTTGATACCTGAGAAGTGGTACTAGATAGACACAGTTCTTGAAAACTTATAGTGGGTAGAATGATATTTAATCAGAGACTGGTTCTGAGATTTCCTACCCATGAACATTTTGTAAACCATCCAGTTATTACTTTACAGGGATAGAGCGTTTTATTCGGTCTTGAGTTTACATAAAATGACCATTGTCATTTTTATGCATCAGGAGACTTGGGATAGAAACTCATAGAATTCTTTATTCTTTCTTGGTTTGACCGAGAACTAAAATAAGTGACAGAAGTTTTACCCTCTTGACTATAAATCTGTGTAGCTTTTCTGTTTGGTTAAAAGTAGCTACAAGATAATTATTGGCATGAATCCTTTCTTATTCCCTTGTAACTTATCAGTCCCTGTTTTTTAATGCAAAGTAGAGATAATTCTAAAAAGTTATATAGTCAAGTGATTTTCATTTTAAATCAACTTTTTAAAATATATATACTTTTTTATAAAGGAGTAATTGCTTATTTAGCTTCATCTTTGCCCTTTCCAGAAGTCTGTAAACTGAAAAACTGTATTTAAAGTTTTATTCCTTGTTAAAAATAATATTCTGACTGTATTTAAAGCTAAGTTTCCATTAGAGAACGTATCTCATTATTTGACTCCAGTATGCAAAATCATATGACAAAATGTGACTTTTTCATTGCGTTTTTTAAGCAGTAAGCATCTGGGAATTTTTCCCTATGAATGTATCATCCACTTTAAAATGGTCAATTTAGGTTGTAAACGAATTACAATACAGAACTGCCATTGGTTAAAATATTTTTGGAATGTATGATCTTTTATCCTCAGTGTCAAACTTTGTGTCTTTTTTAGGAGGACTTGATTTTTAAAAAAATAGCCAAATCTGGAGAATTATGTGGGTAATTGGGCCAATTAATTTTGTTTGAGGCTAAAACTGAAGTATGACAAAGTAATTAGGCTGATCTGGGGGTTGTCTTATAAACTGCCTCTGAAATAGAAACTCCAAAAACATTTTGAGTAATTGCAGTATTACTCAATGAATAGCCCTTGGTGATGATCACTTTGAAGATGGCCTTCCTTTGAGATACAAGTTCTGCTTGCTTAAAAACAAGTTACTTTCCTTTATGGAAATATCCTTTCCACCCCTTCCCCACAATATTTTATTATGAAAAATGTAAAACATACAGAAAAGTTAAAAGAGTTGTACAGTGAACACCCATATACCTTGAATTTATAATTAATATTTGGCTATATTTGTTTTATTATATACCCTCCATCCATCAATATATCTTATTTTTTGATGCATTCTGTTGAAAGTCCATTGACTTTAAAGATCCATCAAAAATTTGGTACAATGAACAGTTTACGCTTTGGAAGAAAGTGCGCTCGTTGAAGTAAGAGAACAGATGAGCTCTTGTGACCATCTCAACTTCTCTTTGTTTTTTCAGGATGTGTTCCACATGGTAGTTGAAGTACCACGATGGTCTAATGCAAAAATGGAGGTAATATTTTGCCTTATGTTGATAGTTAAACTTAGCCTATCAGTTTTGATCTAGCCACACTGATTTGCACTAATGTAAACATCTGAACTCCAAGGTTATCGTGTCTAGTCCTAATTTATTTTGCACCTGCATTTCCCATTACCTACCTGTCAACACTCTGTGCTACAGCTAAGCTCAACCACTTACTATTTGCAAGTGTTTCACAGACTTTCCTTCCTCATACCTTTGCTCTGACATTCCCACAGCCTAGGAATTACCTTTTCCTCCTGTCATATTCTGTCAGTCATTGACTTAGTCACCCCAGCCACAAATGATCTCATTGGAATTTCTGTAGCATTTTGTTAATGTCCTCCTAATAACGTCTAACACATTTGGCTTTTTGTTGTAGATATTTATTACGTATTTTATATCTCTTAATTAAGCTTTTTGACAGTAACCACATTTTGCATGAATAAACACAGAAAATACTTAAATATTTTTAAATGCTTTAAAGGAAGGCTGAAGTTGGAGAATACTTATTTTGCCCTTTTAATAAAATCTTGGTACTTCTAATTTCTCAAATGTTAGGACTTATTCCAGCTAATTTGAGTTTTTGCTTTGAGGAATTGATAAATGTTATTTTTCTCTTCTTGACAGTTCCTGTATGCCTCGAGTAAGCTTTCCACATAATGGCTGATTATGGAGTAACTTTTAAATTATAATCTAAAATTTTAGATTCAAATTATAAAAAGTTAGGAATAAAATATACCATTAAAGTGGAATTAGCGGGACATGCATACTGTAATTCACTTCCCCGAATTCTTGTCTGAATAGTATTGCACAGCCAATAAACAACAGTTTGAAATTTTTAATTTCAGATTGCTACAAAGGACCCTTTAAACCCAATTAAACAAGATGTGAAAAAAGGAAAACTCCGTTATGTTGCCAATTTGTTCCCTTATAAAGGATACATCTGGAACTATGGTGCCATCCCTCAGGTATGTCTCCATGCAATTGCTGAAAGTGGACTTTTTAGTTTACTAAAAATTAACTTACTGCTCTTAGTAAAAGAGATTTAAACACCTTCAGAAAGCCTTTGTCAGAGTAGATTTTAAAGATAACATAAAGGGTAATCAACTAATTTTAATACTTTATTGAATAACTTATTTTCAACGTAAACTGAAAGGTAAATATTTATAATGTTTAATTTCAGATTTGAAAGTTTGTTCTTTTTATGAAATATTTATTTTTCTATATGGAATGTTTGTAAGCTATATAAAATCTTTCTTTACAGATTGAGTCTATTAAGAGAAATAGTGTAGGGTAGTCATTAAAAGCACTGATATTTGGCACCAGACAGACCAGGGTTCAAATCGCAAGTATCCCACTTCCTAGCTTACCTAACTTGCCTCAGTTTCCTCCTCCCTGAGACAGGGATATTAAAAGCACTTAGCTCATGTAGTTATTTTGAGGAATAAAGCACCTAGTATCTGGCACATGTGAAGAGCCCTAATGGTGCAGTGGTTAAGAGCTACAGCATGCTACAGCTGCTAACCAAGAGGTCAGCAGTTCGAATCCACCAGCCATTCCTTGGGAACTCTATGGGGCAGTTCTCCTCTGTCCTGTAGGGTTGCTATGAGTCAGAATTGACTTGATGGTGGCAGCATCTGGCACATACAAGTTCTCAGAGCTATTGACTTTTATGTTGAGTCCTGATTCCTTCCTTGAGTCAAGCTCTTTGTAGTAGAGTAATGAGGAGATTCTGTTTTCCTAAATAGTCAACCCTTTGAGGAGGGGCAACGTCTTCCTTGTTTACGAATTCTTCCCTATCGCAATGCCAGTATGTAGTAGGTTCTTACTGAATATTAGAATGAGGAGTCACTAGAATGACTTCTACTGTGAGTAAGTGAGATTCTGGTTTGACGGGCTAATGCTGTGTCACTTAAGATTTTTCCATGAAGTATTCCATTTAAATTTGCCCTGCTGATTCTGATAAATGATTTGTCTTTATTAACCATTAAGCCTATTAAATGGAATCCATTGTGAAACAACCTGTATGTTACTAGAACATAGGTCAAACTCATCTAGCTTGTTAGGTAAGCAAAGTTGTTTGCATTAATTATTAGTTATAGAACTTCAACTTGTACTTTAATTGATTATGCCTAGAAATATTGCCCCTCTGGGAAAACATTGCTGAAATACTTAGTCTTCTGTGGGTTGAATTTTGCATTCTTAATGTTGGTTTTGTTGGATCCAGTCTTCCTTTAACCCACTTCACTTTTATCTTCTGGCCTTTACTCCAGCTAAGCAGGCAAACAAATCCAAGTACTATGTTCTGGTTCAGGGAAGAAAGAACCAAAGCAACATTTATACATGACTGTCTGGCATGCATGGGCTGTCTTTTTTGTGAGATACTCTTCAAGGATTCTATCTTGCAATTTAGCAAGGAAAGAAAGCTGCAGTTTAAAGTTCCAGTAAATCCTGATTAAACTTTTCAGTCTTGATGTCTAGTCAAAGTGATGACACTTTTAACATCAAAACATTTAATTTTCATTTTAGTCTAACTGCCTACCTACTTCTGCTGTGGCAATCTGTTTTGAAGAAAATCTAGTTAGAAGAACGTAGTAGTGCCTAGAAGAGTTGTTCAAAACACCTTTCTTCTAATCTGTTTTTAATGTAAATATTTTGATCTATATTTCTTTGTGATTACAGTTGGTTATTAAGTGATGGTTTTGGGGTTTGTTTGTTTTGAATAGGATCATTGTCAGCTGTGAAGATTAAATTTAGTTAAAAAAAGACATCCCATAAAATGGGGGAAAGTATTTGAAAATTATATATTTGATAGAGGTCTAAATATCCAGAATATATAAAAACTCCTACAACTCAATGACAAAAAGAGAGACAACCTAATTTTAAAATGGGCAAGGGGTTTAAATAGACATTTTTCCAAAGAGGATATACAGTGGCCAATAAGCATATGAAAAGATGCTCAACATCATCAGTCATTAGAGAAATGCAAATCAAAACCATAACGAGATGCCACTTCACATCTTTTAGGATGGTTATTATAAAAAATAGAACATAACAAGTGTTGGGGAGGATGTGGAAAAACTGGAACACCTGTGCATTGCTGGTGGGAAATGTTAAGTGGTACAGCCGCTGTGGAAAACAGTTTGGTGGTTTCTCGAACAGTTAAACAGAATTACCACATGACCCAGCATTTCCACACCTAGGTATATACCCCCCAAAATTGAAACAGGTATTCAGATAGATACTTGTACATGAAATGTTCAAGCAGCATTATTCATAATAGCCAAAAGGTGGAAGCAACCTACGTGTCCATCAATAGATGAGTGGATAAACAAAATATGATATATACATGTAGTATAATACTACTCAGCCATGAAAAGAAGGACCGATGCATGCTACAACATGGATGAACCTTGAAAACATTATGTTCAGTGAAATAAGCCAGACACAAAATCAACTATTGTATGATCCCATTTATATGAAATATTTAGAATAGGCAAATTAATAGAGACAAAAAGTAGATCAGTGGTTATCAGGTCCTGGGGGAAGGGGACAGTGGGTTGTTGCTGCTTAATGAATACAGAGTTTCTGTTTGAGGTGATAAAAATTTTGGAAATAGCTAGTGGTGATGGTTGTACAACATTGTGAATATAGTTAATGCTGCTGAATTATACAATTAAAAATTGTTAAAATGGGAAACTTATATATTTTTACTACAATAAAAAATTTAGTGTAGCATTACGTTTAATAGGGTTCCGGGATTTGATTGAAATTATTGTGTGTAGTTAAGATTCTTAGTGAATGAAGAATTTTTTTAAATAAGAAAATAGCTGAAGATTCATATTTTTACATAAAGACTAATGGAATATTATCTTTTAATGTCAACATGATACACTTTGTCAGTGGTAATGCTGTACTCTAGCCATTATTTTTTTAGACTTGGGAAGACCCAGGACACAATGACAAACACACTGGCTGTTGTGGTGACAATGACCCAATTGACGTGTGTGAAATTGGAAGCAAGGTAATGAAATCTGAAATTTTTTTTTCTTCCCTGTTGAGGTGATATTCATGAAGTATATGAAGTTTATACTTTTAAAAATATTGTGAATAAAATATGACTATTAGTGAAAATAACAGTATCTTTTTGGGTGATAAATTAAAAGCTTTCATTTCATTCTTAGCATTTGTATGTTATAATTTGTACATTTAAGCCTAGTCTAGAAAAAAAATGTATATATATGTGTGTATGAATGTACTCATAGATAGGGGAAGTGGACGTGTTCTGCATTACTTTGAAAGACACAGAACTAGTCAATAGGTTGAAGGGTACCAAAAGGTAAATTTCATCTCAATACAAAGCAAACCTTGTCTAATGATTTGGAGTGATCAATGAATTGACCCAAGCCAAATGACCCCAAGTGTTGGAGATTTATGGTAGGGATTCCTCTACCAAGAAGAGTTGCTCTAAGGTTCTGATTATAGTTATGTTTCTTTATGGTCTTTCTTAGGCTCAGAGAAACAGCTAACAATTGAAAAGAAAGTTGTCATGCAGTGTTTTAAGACAAAGATTTTAAGTCATATTGTATGACTTAGTGGCTGCTTTAAAAGGTGAAGAAGCCACATTAAAATATGTGTATTTAACAGATTATAGAGGATTATTCTTTGGCACAATGATAGTGTAAAAAACATGAATTACTCTGAATTATTTTAGTGGTTTTCTTATGACATACAAATAATAAGAGATACCTCTTTTCAACCGTATCAGTGTTGATAAGGGATTTACTCATTTAGTTTTTTAAAATCTGCTTCAAGGAACAATTTCAGGCAAGTTTGCAGAAACATGACAGCTTCTTTATTTCCTGTTATCCATTAAGTAAAACTTTTCTTTCAAATTTCTTTCTTGACTGCAGTTATTAACTTGTCTTGACTGTGGTTATTGACTCTCAGGTATGTGCAAGAGGTGAGATAATCAGTGTGAAAGTTTTGGGCATACTGGCTATGATTGATGAAGGAGAAACTGACTGGAAAGTCATTGCCATTAATGTGGATGATCCTGATGCAGCCAATTATAATGGTAAGAAATATATTTTTGAAGATTCTGACGTCTTTATACCTAATTCCTAAATAATAAGCACCACCATACCTAACCTGCAAAGACAGAGTTATAAACCCATGCCCTCAAACTGTTAAATAATGGAGAAGGAAAACATTTGACAAAGCATTGTTATTTCTACTGCTGAACTTCTGTAATCAACTAAGTAACATTTTTCTTCATTGTAGGAAAGAAAAAAATCTGATAGTTTTGGTTTTCTGGTTTCTCCTTTCCTTCCGCATATACTAGCACTCATTTGCCTGCTTTCTTTCTGTCTTTTTTGTTGAGATGGAATTCATATACCATAAAGCTCACTGCTTTACAGTATATAATTCAATGTTTTTTTAGTATCTTCATCAAGTTGTACAACCATCACCATTGTCATTATCTGATTCCAGAACATTTTCACCACCCTAAAAAGAAACCCTATCCAATAGCCATCACTCTCCCCTCCCCTGTCTCCCCAGGCCCTGCCAACCAATCTACTTTCTGTCTTTATGGATTTGTCTGTTCTGAACATTTCATTTAAGTGGGACCATGCAGTATTTTTATTCTTTTCTGTCTGGCTTTTTTCACGTAGCATAATGTTTTCTAAGTTCATCCATGTTGTAGCATGTATCAGAACTTTTTTATTTTTATGGCTGAGTAATATTCCATTGCTTGGATAATACTCCATTTTGTTTATCTATTCATCTGTTGATGGACACTTGGGATGTTTCCACCTTTTGTCTACTATGAATAATGCTATGAACATTGGTGTACAAGTGTCTGTTTGAACACCTGTTTTCAATTTTCTTGGGTTTATACCTAGGAGTGGATTTGCTAACTCATATGGTAACTCTATGTTTAACCTTTTGAGGAATCATTGAACTGTTTTCCACAGCAGCTGCCCTATTTACCACCAGCAATGGATAAGGATTCCAATTTCCTCTTTCTGTTGTTCAATTTTCTGTTTAATAATAGCCATCCTTGTGGCTATGAAGTGGTATCTCATCGTGGTTTTGATTGCATTTTCCTAATGATTAATAATGTTGAGCATCTTTTCATGTGCTTATTGGCCATTCATACATCTTCTTTGGAGAAATGTCTGTTCAAGTTATTTGCCCATTTTTTAATTGGGTTATTTTTCTTTTTATTGTTGGATTGTAAGAGTTCCTTTTATATTCTAGATAGTAGACCTTTATTTAGATCCATGATTTGCAAATACTTTCTCCCATTCTATAGGTTGTCTTTTCACTGTCTTAATGGTATCCTTTGATGCACAAAATTTTTAAATTTTGATGAAGTCTAATTTATGTATTTTTTTCTTTTGTTGCTTATGCTTTTGATGTCATATCTAAGAAACCATTACCTAATCCAAGGCTATGAAGATTTATACGTAATGTTTTCTTCTAAGAGTTTTATAGTCTTAGCTCTAATATTTAGATCTTTGATCCATTTTGAGTTAATTTCTGTACATAGTCCAAGGAATGGGTCTGGCCTCATTCTTTTGCATGTGGACATCCAGTTGTTCCAACACCATTTCTCGAAAAAATGTTCTGTCTCCATTGGATTGTCTTGGTACCCTATTGAAAATCAGTTGACTGTAAATCTATGGGTTAATTGCTATATTTTGATTGCCTGAAGTCCTTTTTGAAAAAGAAGTGTTTATACCTTATAACTCTGTCTAATTAACCTTGCCTCTATTTCATGAGCTAACCCATTTATCTAGTTATTGAATTGAATTAGTTTTCTCTTGTCTGTCCAGTAAGACATATGGAGTCCCTGGGTGGAGTAAATCGTTAACACACTTGGCTAGCTAACTGAAAAGTTGGAGGGTTGCATCCACTCAGAAGCACTGTCTTAGTTATCTAGTGCTGCTATAACAGGAATACTGGAAGTGGGTGGTTTTAATAAACAGAAATTTATTTTCTCCAGTTTAGGAGGCTAGAAGTTAGCATTCAGGGTGCCAGCTTCATCCACTCAGAAGCACTGTCTTAGTTATCTAGTGCTGCTATAACAGGAATACCACAAGTGGGTGGTTTTAATAAACAGAAATTTATTTTCTCACAGTTCAGGAGCTGGAAGTTCGAATTCAGAGTGCCAGCTTTAGGAGAAGGCTTTCTCTCTCTCTGGGCTCTGATGGAAGGTCCTTATCTCTTTGAGCTTCTGGTTCTGGTTGATCTTCGCGTGGCTCAGCTCGGCATCTCTTCTTTTATCTCTTGTAAGAGATTGACCCAAGACACACCCTACACTAATCCTGCCTCATTAACATAACAGAAAACTCATTGCCAAATGGAATTATAACCACAGGCATAGAGGTTAGGATTTACAACACATATTTTGGGGGGACATAATTGAATCCATAGTGTTCCACCCTTTGGCCCTTGGAAATTCTTGTCCTTGCCACATGTAAAACGCATTCACCCTGTCACATCATCCCAAAAGTCTTAAATCCACTCCAAGTCCAAAATCTCATCTTCTGGATCATCTAAATCAAGTATGGGTGAGACTTTAGATGTATTCCATCCTGGGGCAAAATTCCCCTTCATTGGTGAACCTATGGAATCTAGATTACAAGTTATCTGTTTCCAAAGTACAGTGGTGGAACAGGCACAAGGTAGACATTTCCGTTACAAACGGGAGAAATTGGAGGGAAAGAAGAGATAACAGGCACCCATTGAGTCCAAAACCCAGCAGAACAATTTACATTAGCTCTCAAGGCTTGAAAATAATCCTTTGTTCTTTGGGACCATTTGGGAAGTGGCCCTCCCCTCCAGACTCTGGCTGTTGGCCATGCCCTCTGGATTCTGGGTGGAGGCCCCTTGGCTCTGGGCTTCACCTTTGCCTTCCAGGCCCATTGGGACAGCAACTCTGCTCCCTTGGCCCCGGCAGGCCCCATTCTTCTGCCTCTCGGGCACAGCAGCCCCACTCCCTCAGCTTTGGGGTTTGGCCACATCCCCCGGTACACCTTAATGGCAGCCCCACACTCTGGAACCGAGTTGGTGAAGATACAAGTCTTTGAAACCTAGGAGGCTATGGCCCCACCCTTTGAGATCTGGGAGACTGTGACCCTACCCTTTGAAAATGAGAAGGCCTTGCCTCCCATGTTCCTTCCAACAGTTCTACTTATCTCTGAACTGCTCCAGGGATGGTCTTTTTCTTTTCTTTTCTTGGAGGACAACAGATATAGCTTTTTGGCCTGTTTTCTACCTGTAGAATTCCAAGACACTGACAGTTTTCTTTCCTTTCATCCTGTCTCTATGACTCCTTCAGTATAAGCTGATGGGTTTTCTGCTGTAGTAGTTGGTTAGATCCACCAGTCACAAGCTTAATCTTTTAACAAAAGATTGTGTAGACACATCCTTGGTGAAAATTCTCAGACATGTGTCCTTAGTTTGTAGAACAGAATTTTCCAAATCTTTAAGTTCTGTTTTCATTTTGCACAGTTCATTTTTAAGTCCATCTCTTTCTTCTTGCTTTTCACTATAAGAAAGGAGAAACCACACGGCCCCTTTATGATCTTGCTTAGAAATCTCATCAGCCAGATATCTAAGTTCATCACTTACTCATTCTACCTTCCATTAAACATTTGAACATAATTCAGACAAGTTCTTTGCCACCGCATAAAAAGCATCGGCCTTCCTCCATTGTCCAATAGCATTTTCTTTTAGAGCCTCACCAGAAACTCATTTAATGTCCACATTTCTAGCAACATTCTGTGGCTGGCACCATATGTATTCTCTAAGATGTTAGCTCTCCTCACTTCCTCACCAGAATTGCCTTTGATGTCCATAATTCTACCAACAGTCTCTTCAAGGCAATCTAGGTTTTTACTATTAGGCACCTTAAAACTTTTCCAGCCTATACCCATTACCCAATTCCAAAACCACTTCCACGTTTTAGGTATCTGTTAGAACAGCACCCTACTCTTCCAGTACCAAATTCTATCTTAGTTATCTAGTGCTGCTATAACAGAAATACCACAAGTGGGTGGCTTTATCAAACAGAAATTTATTTTCTCACAGTTTAGGAGGCTAGAAGTCTGAATTCAGGGTGCCAGCTATAGGAGAATGCTTTCTGTCTCTGTTGGCTCTGGAGGAAGGTCCTTGTCTCTCTCTTTGAGCTGCTTCTGGACGATCTTCATGTGGCGTGGCATCTCTCTTCCGCTGTCTCTGCTTGCTTCTCTCTCCTTTTATTTCTTATAAGAGATTGACTCTAGACACACCCTGTACTAATCCTGCCTCATTAATATAATGGAAAACTCGTTCCCAAGTGGAATTATAACCACTGACATAAAACCCATTGCCGTAGGGCTCATAGCGACCCTATAGGACAGAGTAGAACTGCCCCATAGGATTTCCAGGGAGCGGCTGGTGGATTCAAACTGCCAGCCTTTTGGTTAGCAGCCGAGCTCTTAACCACTTCACCACAAGAGCCCCAACCACTGGCATAGAGGTTAGGATTTACAACGCATATTTTGGAGGACACAATTCCGTTCATAACAGGCACCTTGGAAGAAAGCCTGGCAATCTACTTCCGAAAAATCAACCATTGAAAACCCTGTGGAGCACAGTTCTCCTCTGACACACATGGGGTTACCATGAGTCAGGCAACTTGATGGCAACTATTTTTTGTTCTTGTTTTTTTTTTTTTTTTTAAACATTTCCCAGTTCACTTTGCAAACTTTCCATAGTTAGTGGTACTGCAGTAACGGAAAGCTTGATCTTCTTTAACTATGGAGATTATAAATTGGACTTAAGCAAAATTATTTTATGCAAATATAAATGTGCTTCTGCTATTGAATGTAATACTCTTTCCAGTAATACTTATCCTGATTAACTTTTTAGGACTTATATCTTGTGTTTGCTTTCACTGAGCAGGAGTTTGGTCATTTAAAGTTCAGTTTGATGACATTGAGTCTAGTCACTTTTTTAAAAATATTTTATTATGTTTTTGGTGAAAGTTTACAAAGGTTTTCTAGCCATGGTTCTTTCATATTTGGAGGATAACTTCCCCCTTCCAATCATTTTACCAGTCCAAAACAGTCATTAACAATTAGTCTTTCAATAGGGCAAAGAGACAGTAGAGTAAGGTTACTCAGGTACCAGCTATTCAGCCTTGCTGCAGGTGACCATCTGATTTGGTCAGACTCTCCAACAGTTCATCTCGTCTTCACTCTTTCTGGCCTCTGATAAAATTTAACTAAGAGGGGATTATTCCCTTGCTCTGAGCCTCAGGAGGTATCAGCATAAGCAAAACCTTTAAGGGACTTTAGGTTCGGCCACTGTACTCCAGACCAGCAGTGCCTCCCCCTTAGTCCGCTCTTTCACACTTACAGCTTCTACAATTATAGTTTTTACAATCACAATTAATCCTTTTAACAATCAGTACTCCCAGCTGAATCATATAATCCTTTCAGCATCTTTCCCCACCCTCTCTTCCCCAGACCCATCAGGAAAAGAGGAATCTATTCAATGGGGATCTTTCCTTGTCCCCCTCATTTTGCATGTAAGCACACCCACGAAAGTGTGTAAACCAGCCACTTCATGCCTTTATCTCTCCCCTCTTCCCATTTTAGATAGCCAATATTTAAATTGCCTGTCCCTGTCAAACCAGTGCTCTGAGGAGACAAGCATGTTCCTTGATCTTGAAGAATCTTCTGTTCTGCTTGGAACTTTGAGTATCTGCATCCATAAAGAAAGTCTAGTCCAGAGCAAACCATCAAGTTGCAGCAGTCTACACCAGCCCACAGTGTCAAACATCTTTCTCTTCATTTGGTAGGGTTCTGGTCAGCTCATCCTTAGCCATCCAAGCTAGGTCACAATGGGTAGCAGCCTCAGGCTTGAGAGTTCATACACTCCTCTCAGCACTTCAGACAGCCCCTTCACACACTCTCATCTCTAGTCCCCTTGGGCTAGGTCAGTGGGTTTCACCCATAAACTGCAAGAGTCCCACAACTCCTTTTACTTCTGACCAGCCAGCCCTTCCTCTCACTGTCATCCCTAGCCCCTGTGGGCTGGGTCAACGAGTACCAATGGAACATGTCCAAACTAAGCCCATCTCTTCATTGCTGCATTTCCCCTACTTCCACTCATGAGTGGACCTAGGTGATCACCACAAGTGAGCAGACCAAGCTGTCTACTCGCTGACTCCCTTTAACTTCCAGTCCTAGAAGAGGGCTCCTTCTGATGGACACTGACTTTTCCTGCCTTGATGCGTACAACAACAAACTGCTTGCTCAAAATTCAAAAAGCAAAACAGTCACTTTTTTTTTTCCTTCAGCAAGTCCTGTCATCCTGCTGAGAAATCTTATATTCTCTCAGCATTTCTGGGTGGTTCTCCATGTCTTTTCAAGTAAGTGCAAAATCCGGGTAGGGCCCAGGTTTTCAACCTAAGCCCCAAATGTATACACAGGGCTACTGCATTTAGACCAACAACCTGTGTTTCACTCTGGCAAATCCTAGTTCCCCTTTTAGCATATCCAATCAAGTATTGACTGAAGGCGGGGTACACACTTTCTGTAATCTGTAATACCCAACATTCATTTCTATCCTACATTTAGGTCTGCTTTACTACACTAAGTAGGAGAAACATTCAATATCCATGGTACATCCAATTAAACACATAATCCTTTTTAAAACATTCCAGTTTCATCTTCTCTTCTCCTTGCCTTAACTATGTTCCCATTCATGTGCATATGGCCTTGGGCCTCTGGCTGGGTAGAACCAGAAGACCCTGCCCCCCAGTCAATCATCCTGCTTTTCTGGCCTGGCTTTGGCCCAGGCCAGTCCAGGTGGGGCTTCTCTCTCCCCTGCTGCAGCATAACTTTGCCTTCAGCCTTTACAAGCAACAGCAACCAAAGCAACTATCCAAGAATCAAAAGTTTCACTTCCCAATCTCCTTCTTTCTTTCTCTTACAAAGTCCTGTGCTTTCATGAGTCTGGAGCCATTACAAAGAATCCCACTCCTGGCACGAACTATAAAAAATGGCATAGGGGAGGTATCTGACCTCCTCCAACTCCACTAGGGGGAAGGAGAACCAAGATCAACAGCACAAGGCTGACTCCCATGAGGTGGAGAGTAGGTAAGCCTCCTCCCTCTGCCGTCTTTGCCAATTCTGACATCGACTGTCCCTCCCACAGCACTCTCTACTGGGTTCAATAATTCATTGCAGTGGCCACATAGAACTCATAGACCATACTCACGATTATGGGGTTTATTAGGGAAGTAACAGTTACAATTCAGGCTCAGGAATACAGTTCTCTTATCAGGACAGCGTCTCCCCAGCAATGCCCACAGGCATGTCTCTCCCTGGCCCTTGGCCTCTCCCCAAAGGCGCTCAGCTTTCTCTCTCCATGGGCTGGGAAGGCCACCATGCTGTCTCCTGCTGCCAGCTCTCTCCTGCCACCACTTCTCACTGTCTGCAAGGTTACAGCTTGCTCTTTTGGTCTCTTGCTTCCAGGAGCTTGTCAGTGCAGGGATCCCAGGTCCAAAGGATGCACTCTCACTCCTGGCTGTTCTTCCTTGGTGGTGGTAGGATCCTCCTCTTTGTTCTGGAATTGGCTCTCTTTTAAGGCAAAACTGACCAATCCCCTTGGTGGGTCACAATTACCCTATCACATAGTCCCGCACAGTCACCTGCATGGGAGTTATAAGCCAATGGCTAGAAAGGCCACACAAAAGTAATCAATTACATCGCAGCAGGAAATTAGGTTCTCATTTAACAATTTCTGTACATATTGTTCAGTGACATTGGTTACCTTCTTCATAGTATATCAGTATTCTTGTTATTTCCATTTTGGTTGTTCTGTTTCCATTAATCTAGCTTCCCTGTCCCCCCTAGCCTTCTCATCTTTGGTCTAAAGTAAATAACCATTTGGTTTCATCTAGACAATTATTTTGAGGAGCACAGTACTCACAGGTGATATTATTTATTTTATGGACCAATCTGTCATTTGGCTGAAAGGTGATCTCTGGGAGTGGATTGAGTTCCAAGTGTAAGAAGTATTTTAATAGAAGTATGTTAATACTTCTTAGTGTCTTGATAGTCTTCAGGGTTCATCTAGTTTCTGCTGATCCAGTAAGTCTGGGTTTTATTTAGGAATTTGAGGTTCGTCCTACATTTTTCTCCCATTCTATCCGGGACCGTCTATTGAGTCCCTGATCAGAATGGTCAGTAGTGGTGGCTGGGCACCATCTAGTTCTTCTGGTCTCAAGGTAGGTGATGTCATTGTTCGTGTAGACTGTTGGTTTTGTAGACTAGTTTCTTCTTTGAATCTTTAGTTTTCTTCTTTTCCTTTAGCTCTCCAGACGAGTAGAGACCAATGGTTGTATCTTAGATGGCTGCTCGCACGCTTTTAAGACCCCAGACGCTACTCACCAAATTAGGATATAGAACATTGTCTTTATGAATTATATTATGCCAGTTGACTGAGTTGCTGCACGAGACTATGGTCCTAAGCCCTCAAACCCAGTAGACTAATCCTGTGAGGTATTTGGCTGTGTTTAGGAAGTGTCCATAACTATGCCCCCTATGTGTTTAATTTACACTTGAAAATATGTGCAGAGGCTAGTCATTGTTGATGACTGTACAGAAACTGTAAAATGTTTTTTAAGCAGGACACTTCTGGCCAAAACTAAAGCACTGTGATGTAGAAATGCCTATACTATGATCGAGAAAAGTTTAATCACATTTAATATGTAACCTATCAATGGATATTAGTCTAATCCTTTTTTCTTATCTTCTTTTGGTATGTGATTTGGGCTGTGATCCTCTGAAATACAGCCTTAACCTGTATTTTTTAGTATCTTCTAGTCTTCTCGTAGAAGTTTTCTATACTTGCCAAACTAGTTTTTATTACATAGCCTCCAGTAACTTCTCCCTTCTTTTGTCTAATGGCAGTTAACTATTGTAGTGATGGTTCCCTTAGTATTTAATGTCAGAGCTTTTCTAAGATGGAGTCCTGGGTGGTACAAATGGTTAAAGTGCTTGGCTGCCAACCAAAAGGTTAGAGGTTCTAGTTCACCCAGAGATACCGCGGAAGAAAGGCCTAGGAACCTACTTCTGAAAAATCAGCTGTTAAGAACCCTGTGAAGCACAGTTCTACTTTGACACCCATAGGTTCACTGTGAGTTGGAATAGACTTGATGACAACTGGTGGTTTTATTCTGAGATACTAGATGATTTCCTTGTAAAGTGTATATATGTTCTCTTTTCAACAAGGAGGTTAGCTTCAACATTATCTTAAACTTTTTTAATAAGCCATTCCACAGCTCTCTCAGTGTAGGTACTTGATATTTTTGAATGCATCTTGCAATCTGCTTGTTCTCTCCTTAGACATTAATGATGTCAAACGGCTGAAGCCTGGGTACCTAGAAGCTACTGTGGACTGGTTTAGAAGGTACAAGGTTCCTGATGGAAAACCAGAGAACCAGTTTGCTTTCAATGCGGAATTTAAAGATAAGGTAATAAATGTCATTCAGATCTGTAGCTTTAGACCTATTTGTTTTCATACTTATAATTGAATCATATTGTTACCATCTAAAGGAGCCCTGGTGGTGCAGTGGTTAAAGTACTCGGCTGCTAACCAAAAGATCGGTGGTTTGAACCCACCAGCCGCTCCACAGGAGAAAGATGTGACACTCTGCTTACGTAAAGATTTATAACCTTGGAAACCCTATGGGGTCACTATGAGTTGGACTCAACTTGGCGGCAGTGGGTGGGTGGGTTACCATCTAAAGACTATGTGATCCATAAAACAAATATCAGAGATTTTTGTTTACTTATTTATTTAAATATTCTCTTTCATTTCTGACCCAAGGAAGTGATTCAAAAGGGACAAAATATCAGACTTTGGGAAATGTTGATAATGGTAAAATTTTAATAATAGGAAAAGAACACTTTTCCATAATTGTAATGCATATCTCTTCAAATTATAGGATTTTGCAATTGATATTATTAAAAGCATGCATGACTATTGGAAAGCACTGGTCACTAAGAAAACTGATGGAAAAGGAATCAGTTGGTAAGTCCTCCTTTCTGCATGTTTAACACACGAAGCAGACCAGCTTGCTCCACAGGCTTTAATAACCGAAGGACACTGTACCATTACGTCCACTTAGAACAGAGATAACTGACTCTGTCAGTCAGCGCTCAATTGAATAGGAAGATAAAATCCATACACAACAACTGAAAAGGACCTGTAACATCTCTGAACAGGTACAAGCTAAAACTGTAAAGGAGACAGTGAGACCAGAGCTGTGGGAAGGTAACTGGGAAAGAATGCTCAGAATACAGTGGTTAAAATGAGGTGGAGTGCAAGGGTTAGTGCTCTCTGATGTGGATATGTAAGATGCATCACAGCTAAACCAGTATCTACCCTGTGCACCGAATTTACTACCATTAAAAATAATAGCGAATGTTTATTGAGCAGTTAATAGGCTCCAGGCACCTAACTGAGGTTTAGGGAGATTAAACTTAACCATGGTTACACCACAACAAATGTTGGAGCTAAGACTCATACCCAAGACTATCTGGCCTCCAAACCCGTGTTCTTAATCAGTACAGTAGACTTCCTCTTAGTTATTTAAAGATTTATAAGTGGATGCCCACTGTGTGTACTTCACATGCAGCTTATCTCAGAAGTGGTTCCCAGATCTCAAGCAGCTACAAGACTACCAGAATGAGGACCCCAAGCAGTAGCAGTAATCCGTCCACGGGTGCTATGTTCATCCAATCTGATTGAGTCGCACACACGAGACACTTAGCATAGTGTTAGCAAAGTGAAAACCATTTATTACTCACAGATAACATCATTACTCACATATAACAGCAACCTAAGTAACTATAGGAAACTCGGGTAGCGTAGCGGTTAAGACCTACGGCTGCTAACCAAAAGGTCGGCAGTTCGAATCCACCACGTGCTCCTTGGAAACCCTATGGGTCAGTTCTGTTCTGTCCTGTAGGGTTGCTATGAGTCGGAATCGACTCAACGGCAACGGGTTTTAGGGTTTAAGTAACCATAATCCCTTGGCCATTTGTCCTTTCTCCTCCAAAATCCCATGCTTCCCTAAGTCAGGAGTCGTTGCTTTGAATCCCACTTCTGCTGACGCTAATTTATAAGGTCAGGGTCTCTAAGCAGTAAACCAGACCAGAGAACTTTCAGCTCCCCTGCCCTGGTCAGTCCAGACCCCAGCTGCTGCACATAGCCGGTTCTCTCTCCTGGGGCTGGGTCAGCAAGTGCCTCCTGGATGCTAGGGAGTCTTCCCTCACTTCACACGACTCCCCCCACTTCAGACCAGCCGGCCTCACTACTCCCTTAGGTCCAATAATTTATTACAATGACTCACCAACTCCTAGGAAAGGGGCTGCCTTTAATTCAGCAGAGAAGGGATACAAACACCAAAAGAAAAGGGTGAGGTCGGGGAGGGGTCTCAGCACAGAGCCCCCCTGGTCTGTCATCATGCAGGAAGCACCACTGAGCGGCCATCTTCTGAGCCTTTTATTGGCCTCCTGCCTGAGGCCCGTTGCTTATGCACGAGGCCTCACTGAGGCTGCATCATGCCTCTGGAGGTGGGCCCTCTGGGTCTGGTCAGCAGGACTGTTAGCTTCAGGTGCTTCCCAGCTCTTCTTGATCCCAGGACCAAGGGCCACATTGTTTGCTATAAAGGAGTTTCACACTTCCCACCGTCATCACTTGCCTACTGGTTTTCTGGAAATATAGTCAATGCACTAGACCAGAGAAAGAAATAAGATGTAAGAATATTGGAAAAGGGGGAACAGATTTGTACATATTTTTGCAGATGGGTATGATTGTGTACCCAGAAGACCCTAGAGGAAATAATTCAGCAAGGTAACTGATTTCAGAATGAATATATGTCCACTGATAGGTGTCTATGCAAACTAACAGAAACTGTAATGGAAGAAAAGATCCCATATAAAATAGTATTTTAAAAAAAGAAAACGTAAATCTGTACGACCCAGAAGAAGAAAACTTTGACTCTACTGAGGAATATAAAAGATGTTAAATAGAAAGATTAGCATTTAGTTTCATCTAGAAAAATGTGTATGTGAGGATAGCCAGGAAAATTCTGAAAAATTAAGCATAGTGGTAGTGGGAAGGAGTGTTAATTATTGTAGCTGCATATTGTTTTATTAGCTGTAAGTTTGGTATTGAGGAAAAAAGACAAGTTATTTAGTTCTGTTAGGGTTCAGGAGACCTAAAATAAACCTAAAGATGTAGAGGAATTTAGTTTATAATAAAGTATTTTGGATCAGTGATTTTGGATTAACTGGCTGTTTAGGAAGAAAATAAGACTAGGTCTCTAACTCACTCCTTACAGCAGAGATGTAAACGCAACAGCCGACATGTTCTGATGGGTTGTTGTGTGTTGTTTTTAAAATGCACTCTCACTGGGCAGGTGCTATGTGCATGTAAGCAGCCTAGCCTCAGTTTTGTGACTTCAGCCTGCTTTACACCCGTATGTTCCTGTGTGTTGTCTGCTGGCATTTGAGTTTGCACCCCTTGTCTTATATTTAATTCCAGATAGATAAAAAGTTCACGTGTTAAAAAAAGTTCTAGGAAAAGCATAGGTGAATTTATTTATTAGCTTGTATTAGGAAAGGCCTTTCCAAACACAACACAAAACTCAAAGTACATAAAAGAAAGATTTACTTACAATATTGTTTTTTATGTATCAGAAGAGAATTTTCCCAGTTGTTTAATTTTTTGTTACAACATGTGACAGAGAGCTAAATTATCAGGTTATTGTATAACTCCTAAGAGAATTTTTTGTTACTGTGACTTGTGACTACATTTGTTTTATTTAACAGCATGAATACAACAGTGTCTGAGAGCCCCTTCAAGTGTGACCCTGATGCTGCCAAAGCCATTGTGGATGCTGTATGTAAAAGTTTCCTTTTAAAAAAAACAGTTGATGACTAAAAAATGTACTAAGTGCGGAGAGAAGTACTTCTTTCAACAAATATGCATATTACTGTGTGAAGTCTTGTAATTATAAGCCATGAGCACGTACAGGTCGACATTTGAGGGGAGAAGATGAGGAGTGGTTCTAGTGAGCCATAAAGTGGGCAGATAGTAAAGTAGTATAATTTGTAAAAATCAAAATGATCTGAGAATGTACCGAGTAACCTGAGTGTCTATGTACTTTTTATAAGCCATTTTCCACAAGAGAACCAATGCGAGTTTACTTGGCCTGGTTATAGCAAGGACTGAGGAATTTATCAAATTTTCAGTGCCATTGTAGGTGTGGTTTATAATACTAGAAAAAACCTTTCTTGAGAGGTAATAAACCATCCATCAGAGAAATAATTTTGGTTTTGTACTATTTTTAATTATCTGATTTGGATTAGCCAAAAGACTGGTTTATTCTAATTTACAATATTAATTAAGAAAACAAAAAAAAATGAAGTCTGACTTTTTTCTGCCTTGTACGTGAGATAGTAGAAGGAAAAAGGACAATTTAACAGTGAAACCCCTTATATTTAGACTTATCATTATTTATATATGAATCCTGACGCTTAAAGTTGATATGAATAAGAAAAATAGGAAGCCAGTATTATGTTAGCTAGTAGTTAGCTGTTTTAACTTTTCTGTGAGAACACTTCGTTCACATTTTATGTTTATGTATACATATAAAATCATTATATGTGTATAAAACTGTTTTTATTCTTTATTTCTTTTATAAAAATTTTTTTTATTATTTATTCTCCTGTATGTCATTAAAGGAGCCCTGGTGGAGCAGTGGTTAAGCATTCAGCTGCTAACCAAAAGGTTGGCAGTTTGAATCCACCAACTGCTCCTTGGAAACCCTACGGGGCAGTTGTACTCTGTCCTGTAGGGTCACTGTGAGCTGGAATTGACTCGACGGCAACGAGTTTGGTTTTGTTTTTTGGTGTCATTCAAAGCCAGGAGGCCTTTACTTTGTTAGTGTCTCTTAGCAGTGGAGCAAACCTTCATAGTTCCTATATGTTATAAATTATTTTTAAAGCCTAAAAATTGACATAGTCTTCTGTTCAGATTCTGTTTAATTTTCGTGTCAGTATACTTTTTAGCTGATTTTTCTGTGGGACTAGCTAATACATTTTGATATTTTATTTTAGTTACCACCACCTTGTGAATCTGCCTGCACAATACCAACAGATGGTAAGATCTACATTTCAGTAAAATTACATTAAAAAATGATGTGTATGTGTGGGGAAAAACATTTGTATATACATACCACATACATATGGTATGGAGAGGGGGAAAGAAGGGGAAAAGAGAAAGCTTATTGGAGTTCATAGTATATGTGACAGGAAAGGTAGGCTGCTACATACCACTTTTATTGCCACCTTCTACCACAGCAGTTTCTAAACTGTGAGCGGCTGTATTCCCGAGTCCTATAGATGCCTTGTGGACGCTGGGAGGGACCCTGAGCAGCTCTGCTTCTCTCTCCTTTTGTATGTTAGAATTCTCTGTAAGGTTCTTCTGTGAGAAAAGGGTTCTGTCACTTAAAAAACAAGTTTGCAAATCACACTTCTGTAGGATTCACATCAAGAATAGGGAAGCCCGAAGGAAAACACTGACAAATTAACCTGCTTTTTGCTGTAGTGAAACTTTGTGTCTATGTATGTTTGTATTAAAGTAACCCATGGTAGGATTCATTAAAGCAAGTATATTTTTATTGCTTATTTTATTGTTACATGTTGAGAGTAATCGTTGATTCATATCAGGAATTCTAATTTGTTTTTCTTTTCTCTGAATACAGTGGACAAATGGTTCCATCACCAGAAAAACTAATGAAATTTCTCTGCCTGGAATACAAGCTGATATTGCTGCATTGTTTTCATCTGGAAGTATTAGAAGCAAAAGTAGTTGCTTTTCAAAGATTTACATTTACAGAATTAATCTAAAGCAAATTCTGCTGTGACCAATCCCATGTATTCAGAATATTATCTGGCTAAAAGCATTTCTCATATCTCAACTAAGATAACTTAATACATGCTTATATGTCAAAATGGTTGCTGTAATTTGGAAAATTTGGTAGTCGTTTGTGAATAGATGTTCAAGATAAGCGCATAGTGGATGTATATGTGCCGTGTGTTAGGAAATAAAATTATTTTGCTGAAACTCTGTTTAGGGTATTTTTATTTTAATCTGAAGCCTGACATTGCCAAGCAGGCATAGGTACCTTTTGATGTTCCATTTCAACCAGTGATCTTAAAATTCAGTTTTCTAATTATTGGGCTAAAACTGATTGCTCCTTTTTAGGAACCTGAGGATGACATCTCTTTTCCTTAGAGTAGTCTCGATACTGTGCTTTATTACCTAGTTCCTGACATCCCGACGTAGAGCTGAAGCTTTTTTTAATTTAGATCATATTCGCAGCAAGCACACACTCACCTTTTGAAGTGATATAGTTACTTTGTTTACTTCTCTAATAAACTGATTGGATCCTTAAGTTACTCACATTACATTCTGAGTTACCAAGTAGGATAGCTTTGTGATTAAGGTCATGGGCTTTGTTGCTGGACAGACCTGAGCTTGAATCTCAGCCCATCTACTTACTAGCCTTGTAATCTTAGGTCAGTTATCAACCACTCTAAACCTAAATTCCCTCAGCTACAAAACAGACATTTTTCATGTAATGACATGTAGTAAGCATTCCAATTTTTTTTTATTGAAATTTTTCTTGAGATAATTGTAGATCCACATGCAGTTGTAATGAGTAATATGGACAGACTCCTTGTACACTTTGCCCGGTTTCCCACCAATGGTAACATTTTGTAAACTAGCATGTCACATCCAGGACATTAATACTGATACAGTCCACCAGTCTTCCACAGATATCCCCAGTGGTACATGTACTCCATTGTGCTGTACAAGCTCCTCTCTCTAGAAAGCTGTCATTCCACTGTTAAAGCAAGGAAATGCATTATACTCTCAAGGAGAAGTTCTAGGTATGTGGAAAGCTTCTTCATCCATGATGCTGGATAAAAGTTGTCTGTATGGTACAACCAAAAAGAATTCCTAACTCTTTGGACCACAGCCATTCAACACACAGTTCTTGAGATGTGGCTTTGTGCCAAGCACTGTTTCAGGTACTGGAGACACAGTGATGAGCAAGACAGACGAAGTCACTTTTAATAGTCCATTAGATTAGGTTACGCACAACCATTTCTAAAATCTCAGTGACTTAAAAAACCAAAAGTTGGCTTTTCACACCAGGCGTGCTCTGCCCCCGGGCAGCTGTCCTCCTCCATGTGATAGCTCAGCATCACACCTCCACGTTAACAGGGACCTTCTCCTGTTGATGGCTATGAGAGGAAGAAAGTGTTGGAGTCTTGCACTGGTAATTACGTGCTTCTGCCCAGAAGTGACACACATCACAGATGTTCAGATTTCATTGGCTAATGCAAGCCTCATGGCCACAGCTAACCTCAAGGAGGTGGGGTAGTGCCCAGAAGGAGGGGACACAGAAATATTGGTGAGCAGCACTACTGTCCACCACAGTCCTATTCTCGTGGAAGACAGAGCACTTTTCACCTGACGTGCTACATAATTATGATATTTGTCTGCCTCCCTTCACGAGCATGTAGCTTCCAAAAGAGCAGACTTTTTTTTTTTTCTTTTTTTATTGTACTTCAGGTGAAAGTTTACAGAACAAATATTTTCTCATTAAACAGTACACATTATTTTATGACATTGGTTAACAACCCCACGATATGTCAACATGCTCCCTTCTTGGCCTTGGAGGACCCCTTTATTTTTGGTGAAAATATACATAGCCAAAGATACACCATTTCAAAAATTTCTACATGTACAATTCAGTTACGTCAATTACGTTCTTCCAGTTGTGCTGCTATTCTCACTTTAGATGAAGGTTTACAGAACAAAATAGTTTCTCATTAAACAGTTAGTACACATATTGCCCTATGACAATGGTTAACAACCCCGCGACATGTCAGCACTGTCCTTACTCAACCTTGGGTTCCCTTTCACCAGCTTTCCTGTCCCCTTCTGCCTTCTAGTCCTTGTCCCTGGACTGCTGTGCCTCATTAGTCCTGTTTTGTTTTATGGGGCTGTCCAATCCCTGGCTGAACGGTGAACCTCAGGAGTGACTTCACCACTGAGCTAAAAGGGTGCCTGGGGGCCATACTCTCGGGGTTTCTCCAGTCTCTGTCAGGCCAGTAAGTCTGGTCTTTTTTTGTGTGAAAAGAGCGGAATTTTTTTGGCCTATTTTTCCTACTGACGTGTCTCAAATGCCTAGAAATTATTGTGGAACAAGATGAATGAATGATGTTGGGAAACCAGCTAGGCTATTGCAGTATTCCTGGTAGGAAATGAAGACTTGGGCCCAGGTGAGAGCTGGGGACATGGAGAGAGCAAAGTAGATCAACATATTCCTGAGGTAATGCCAACAGGTCTTGCTAATAGTTCGAAGGCAGGAGATGAGGAAAGGAAAGTACTGAAGAAGAGCTCCTAGACTTTTGGCTTGAACTGTGGAGTAGGTGATGTTCCATTTGTTGAGCAGGGAGATACTTTGAAAGGAGTGAGTTTGGAGGTGAAAGCAATAGTTCCTTTGAGAAGTGATGGATTTGAGGTGTCTGTTAGATACCCTACTGGCACATGTCAAGGAGGCGGTTGGATAATCAAGATTAGAATTCTTCATTCTTATTATAAGACAAAAACCAGTTGAAACCAGTTGCCATCGAGTCAATTTTGACTCACGGTGAACCCATGTGTCAGAGTAGAACTGTGCTCCATAGGGTTTTCAGTGGCTGATTTTTCAAAAGTAGACCACCAGGCCTTTCTTCTGAGGTGCCTCTGGGTAGACTCAAACTGCCAACTTTCCAGTTACCAGCCAAGCACATTTAACAGTTTGTACCACTGAGGGACTCACTTATGAAACAGCATAGCATTAAAGGAAAAAAAATTCAAACGTGCCCATGTTCCTACCAACAATAGATATACTTTAATTTCATATTTCTTTATTCGACAAATCTCAAATGACCAGCCAGTGTGTGTGTACCACTGGGTCCTACGCATGTAAGTAGACGCAGTAGATATGGCCTCAGCTTTTGTGGAGTTTAGTGTGTTTCCTCTTCATGTTTATGTGTGCTAGAGCTTTGATGTGATTGTGACATTGTACATACAGCCCAGCAGAGCCAGGAGGACCCAGAGGCCTATGGAGCATGACAAATTATGATGACAGGTCTGCAGTGCCAGCTGACCAAGCCCTCTGAGGCATTTAATTCCTCAAAGTACCAAGAAGCCTCCTAGACAGGAACTCAGCCTGAGGGAATCAAGTGGAACCAATAAGCACAAGGACGACGGGTTGCCAAGTTGGGGCAAAGATTTTGAGGACTGCATAGTTTGTCTCAGGATTGTCCCTTGCCCAGTCTCCATGGATTCTTATCCAAAGCCCAGGGAGATAAACCCATGAAAGTCTGAATAAAAAGTAAATAATGTACATTTCTGTGAGAAAGCAGGAGTAGCAGGCAGTCTGCTCTGTGGAAGGGTGTGTCTGTTGTATGTTCTGTTGGTTGAGGAGGGCCATGTGGTCAATGCCAGGAGCAGAAGGGGGCTCTAGCAACTTGCGTGCCACATCCCATTGCCTAGGTTAAATGCCAGGAACTGTCAGAATCTTTCCTGGAACCCAGACTGAGCAAGGAGAGGACATCAAGCTAGCTGGAAGGACTACCCCCAGGGACCTCCCAAACTGATGGAGAGGGACTAGAATTAGAAATTTTGCTTATTGGGGTTGAACCAGAGAAATGATGTTGAATTAATAGACTCCATTAGAATATGTCCTGGAAAAGTGTGGATTCCTTCTTTGTTCTGCTCTCATTTTTGTTCATTATCATTGCTGCATAACAAGCCACCCCAAACTGTCGCATAAAGCAATGACCATTTCTCTATGCCCATGGATTCCATGGGTTGTGTATTCAGGAATGGGATTGCTGGGATGGCTTATCTCTGCTCCACAATGATTGGGACCTCACCTGGGAAGACAGCATGGGACAGGGATTGTCTGAAGCTTGCTTACTCACATGACTCGTAGTTGACCATACCTGTTGGCAATGACCTCAGTTGTCGCCGTTGGCTGTAACACCTACATGTGGTCTTTCCATGTGGCTTCTTGAGTGTCCCCACAGTGTGGTGGCTGGGTTCCAAAAATTAGTGTCCCAAGTGAACCAGGCAGAAGCTGTATCGCCTCTTATGACCTAGTTTTAGAAGTCACAAAGCATCACTTCTGCCATAATTATAAGCCACCCCAAATTCAAAGGGAGAGAACATAGACCCCACTTCTTGATGGCAGCAGCGTCAAAGTCACATTGTAAGAAGAGGTTGTGGGATAGGAGGTATTATTATTGCAACTGTTCTTGGAAATACAGTATTACACACTTTTCAGCAACAGTTTCCCTTGGAATAAAGGAAACAACATTTAGTGAAAATGCCAGGTACTTAGACATGTTATCTCTTCAATACACAGATAAGTAATCTTATCTTTTTTAATGAGGGAAAAAAAGAGATTCAGAGAACCTGAATAATTTTTGCCCAAGATCACTCAGAAGGTGGTGGAGGCAGGACTTAAGCCCAGGTCATCTGACTTTGAGACCAGTGGTTCATCCACTGTTTTATGTTGTTTCTCAGTCTGCACAATCTTCATTAATCAGTATCAATGTTCCATGAAACGGATGTCTCATTATCTACTTAGATATTCCCCTTTACTTAAATTTGGTTGTTTCTAATGTTTTAGCTCTTCGGTATCTTTAGCGTAGTTTTTTTCTTTGAAATTGTTTTCTAAGGATACATTTCCAGGGGGTAGATTGCAGGGTCGTGGCTTTGTTCTCTTATACTGAGATTTCATTTACTGCAAAGGTTTGGCCAGGTTTCAGTGCAGCGAATGATTGTATCTTTTTTTCATGGTCTTGCAAGTCAGACTGAACGATATAACCCTGAGCAAGTTACTTACTCCATCTGAGCTTTAGTTTTCCTATCTGTAAAATGGTGATAATACCATCATCACACGGTTGGTGTGATAATCAAATAAGGGGATGTATATGAAGGGCCTAGCCCAGTGCCGGTGTCACAGTCGGTGCCCCAGGAGTGCTGGTTGTTGATAGTCATAATCTCAACAACACTGAGTGTAATAGTGCATTTTGCAGAAGGGAACCTGAAGCATCGGCCCAGTTGTGTAAAGAGTCCAAATGAGAACACAAACTGGAAATTCAAAAATCATTTTCATCATTACTGAACCCAGACCTGCAAGTGCTGTGGCTCTAGTAGCAATTATTTCCTGTCTGATAAGCATATTCGCTCTGCAAGGGCCTAAATGGTGTTTTTGCACATACCGTTCTTTACACGGAGAAAAAGAGGCACCTCCTGCTTTCTGGGAGTCTCCCTGCAGGAGGCGATTTGCTTTTACATTGACA